ACCAGCGGCATGACCTTGAGCACAGTCCTTAACCTTGCTCAGCCATGCTTTCCTCACCTTTCAATGGGGTTAATCAGAGACCTGACCTCTTGGGGTTGCTGTGTGTTTAAAATGAGATTCATGCACGTATGTGGCCCAGGTCTGCCTGACCACACAGTCCATGATTTTCTTTCTTCCTTTTTTTTTTATGTTTTATAAGAAGTATGGTGACAGGCACAGTGCTCTGTGCATAATCACGTCATATAATGAACTTGTTTACTGCTTTCAACAAACCTGTGACATACGTATGATTATTACCCCCATTTTATAAATAGAAAACTGAGGCTCAGAGAGGTTACTTTTTTGCCCAAGGTCACAGAACCAATAAGAGGTAGAGCTTGGATTTGAACCAGGGCAGTGCAGTTCTAAAGACGTTACACTCCGCCATAACACAGCTATTTCCTGGAGAGCTTTTGCCCTAATAAAACTTTGTAATTAGGTGGTAGCATGTCTTCATCTTTGAGGACTAAGGTGCACCTGACCCAAGCCATGGTATTTTCATTTGCCTCATATGCATGTGAAAGCTGGACGATAATAAGGAAGACTGAAGAAGACTTGATGCCTTTGAATTATGGTGCTGGCGAAAAATATTGAATATACCATGGACTGCCAGAAGAACCAACAAATCTGTCTTGGAGGAAGTACAGCCAGAATGCTCCTTAGAAGTGAGGACGGTGAGACTTCATCTCATGTACTTTGGACATGTTATTAGGAGGGACCAGTCCCTGGTGAAGGACATCATGCTTGGTAAGGTACAGGGTCAGCAAAAAAAAAAGAAGACCCTCAACGAGATGGATTGACACAGTGGCTGCAACAACGGGCTCAAACATAGCAAAGATTGTGAGGATGGCGCAGGACCAGGCAGTGTTTTGTTCTGTTGTACGTAGGGTCACTTTGAGTCGGAATTGACTTGCACCTATAACAACAACAACACGTCCTCGTTTTTAGTCTGTGCAGAACCATACTCTTGTCTCTTTCTCTCTTTCCTCATGCCAATCCCTACCACTGTTGTTTCCCTGTCTAACGTGTTTGATATTTGTCCGTAAATATGCTTGCATCATTGCGAAATACTTAGTACTATTTTTCACCTTTGAATGTTTTTAATATGTTATGTTGTTAGGAGTTATCAAGTCAATTTTGACTCACAGTGACCCCTTGTGACAAAGTAGAACTGCCTCCATAAAGTTTTCTTGGCTATAATCTTTACAGAAGCAGGTTGCCACATCTTTCTCCTGAGGAGCTGCTGAGTGGATTCAAACCACTAACCTTCTGGTTAGTAGCTGAGTGCTTAACTGCTTGCGCCACCAGTGTTCCTTGTTTTTAAAATACACAGATGGTTGTGTGCTGTGAATCTTGTTCTATTTGTTTCTGATCTTTTTCTTTTAATTGCGAAATGTTTCAGACACACACAAGTTATAGAGAATAATGTAGCCCACACCAGCGGGGGTGCATACAGCAGCCAGCTTAAGAAAATGCAGCTAATACAACCGGAGCACCCACCCCACTGGTGGCCTGAGCCCTGTGCTGGCACGTTTCACAATCTTTTCCTCGCATTGAGGCATGGAAAGTTTTCATATCTACCTTAGCAAATTATGTTAATGGCCAAAAGGAACAGGGAGAGACGCCATCCCTGCTTGGCTAAGCTTCCTGTTGTTCTTTTGCCAATAAGGACCTCAAGGGCAGGCCGTTCTGCTTGAGAACAAAGCCCTTGTTATGATAACCGCTATGCATAGACTACTGTTAACTGAGCCAACTCTTTGCCCTCTCCGCCCACAGGAGGTGAAGCAGGAGCTCAGGCCCAGCTCGACAGCTGCCCCACCCCCAGCAGGCTGGAAGCAAAGGATCACAGGGCAAGGGTCCTTGGGATCATTTCACTGCTAGTTCTGGGCACACACAGCTTTTGCCAGGTGCTGGGATGAAAACTCTGTGAGCACAGAGCCTGGCACACAGCTGGTGCCCAATAAATGTTTGCGGAAAAGAAACTGAGACATAAGGAAGGAAGGAGAGAATGAGGGGAGGCAAGAAAGAAGGAAAGAAAAAGGCAGCAGGATAAGAGCAAAGGAAGACAGGCTACAATCCTGGATAATGAAATGTGCTTGGGTTCAGGACCTGGGTTCAAATCCCACCTCTGACAATTACGTAGAAGCAAATGGCAGATCCAGGACCTGAAGCCAGATAACTTTGATCTCTTCGTGCCTCTGAAATGGAGGTGTAATAGTACTTGCCCCGCAGGGCTGACGTGAGGATTAAATAAGATGAGAAACGTGAAGTGAGCTCTGCGCCAGGCACTTAACTAGCAGTACTGCTTGCTGAATTTTAGAGATTATTATTGTTATACTCATTGCACGTATTTGTTGAAGAAAGGGCAAATTGAGGGCTACGGGCAGGGCTGGTTCTGGGCCAAGCCCATACCGTGAACTTGCGGTCCTCGTGGCTGCGGCACTCAGCTTCCGCTGCTTCTCTGCTTGATGCTCTTTTTTCCACTGTGAACACAGAGCCAAGTCCCTCCCGGCCAGGGCCCCCACCTCCCTGGGACTCAGGAAGAGCTTGCAGTCGGTGCCAGCCTCCCCGGCTGCTTGGCCTGAGAGCCCGAGAGCAGTGATGAATGACTTGTTTATCTGTGCCGAGCGGCTCCCGCCCCTCGGTGCCTGGCAGGCAGAGGCGTGGAACCTAGGAGAGGGCAGGGGATGAGGGGAGGGCAGGCTCACCGGTCAGCCCACTGCCCTGCCTCCTCCTCTTCCTCCCTTTTAAAAAAACCCAAACCAAACCCTGCTGTTGAGTGGATTCCGACTCATAGCGACCCTATAGGACAGAGTAGAACTGCCCCATAAGGTTTCCAGGGAGCAGCTGGTGGATTCAAACTGTCACCTTTTGGTTAGCAGCCATAGCTCTTAACCACTGTGCCACCAACTCTCCTCCCTTTTAGATCTACTGAATTCTAGAACAACCTCCCCCACTTGCCAATTCATCATCAAACTCCACTATAAGCTGCTTCCTACACCCTTCATCTTCATCTTCCCCCAAGTCAGCCCTGTTTGAAAGGGGCAGGGTAAAGTGGCTGAAAACGCAGGGTCTGAAATCAGACAGACCTGGATTTGATCCCTGGCTTTATCGCTCATCAGCTGTGTTACTTTAGACCTGATCCTAAACTTCTCTGGGCCTCAACTTCCTCACCTGTAAAGTGGGAGAAGAGCACCAGCTACCTACAAGGGGCGGTCATCCCATAAGGACAGTCTAACCCCCTTCCTCCCCAAGTTTCCAGAACCTGCATTTCCTGGTTTAACTCTCCTTTAAGAACCTCCACTGCCACCCCAGAAGTGGCCTCCAACTCCACCTCCCCCACTCCCTTCATTCTTTCTTGCACTAAGACTTTGCAGATCTCCAGCTCAGTTAGGTTAGTCTTGAGCAGGTATTATCACTATCATCCCATAAGGTATTATCACTATCCTCCCATTTTACAGATGAAAGTAAAACCTAGATCTAACTGAGGCTCAGAGAGGTGAAGGGCAGTCTGGGTTCAAATTCTGGCTTCTGCTGCTTACTCTTGCATTATAGTTGGTAAGTGTCTGAGCTGGGATTGCCCAGTACTGGCTAGTCTATGCGTCTTCCCTCTCTCCCTTCTTTTTCCTCTCTCTCTTCCTCCTTTTCTCGCCATACATGCTAGGGATCAATGGTTACTTGGGTCTTCTCTTCCTTGGAGAGGGCCTCTACATCCCAGATCTGAGAAGCTGTGAGCTTCCCCTCAACATGACCAAGAGCGAGGCCCAGCCCTAGAGAGAGAAGTTCAAAGCTACACTTGGCAAGGGGAAGGGAACTTACAGATCATCGAGCGCCCCCTGGAGGCATCTTCTCCAAGTGAGCATACTCTTTTATGCCTCTAAAGTAGTGCTTCTCAATGGGGGGGATAAGGGGGTGGGAGGCAATTTTGGCCCCAAGGACATTTCTTTGAACTAGGGGGTGGGTGCTACTGATATATTTTGGGTAAAGGCCAGTGATGTTGCTGGACATCCTGCAATGCACAGGGCAGCCACCTATAACAGATAATTGCTATTACGTTCCATCTAATCAATTCCAACTCATAGTGACCCCGTGTGACAGAGTGGGACAGCCCTGTAAGTTTTTCTAAGAAGTAATCTTTATGGCAGTAGATCACCATGTCTTTCTCCCGCGGAACTGCTTTGTGGATTAGAACCACCAACCTTTCAGATAGCAGTTGAGTACTTAACCGTTGCACCACCGGGCCTCCTATAACAAAGAATTACTGGGTAATTTTGCCTTGGATGAGTTACTTCTCTGTGCCCCAGTTTCCCCATCTGTAAAATGGGGATGATAATAACAGTGTCCACTCTGTAGGTTTGTAAACACTTAGAATGATGTCTGGCATGTAGTAGGTACTATATTGGTGTTTATGAAATATATGCAATTTTATGGGCATAGCCCAGCATTGGAACAAAATTACAGTGTCTTTGACTGAGCCTCAGGTAAAATCATTGGCTCGATCCTCACCCAGCGGTGAGGTAGCTCAGAAATGGGAATGGTCTCGTTTTCCTCTCACTCCTGGCTTTGTGCTTACTAAGTGGAAGAGGATGGTGAAACTGTCTGTGCTATTTAAATTATCTCTCTTTATATTTTGGGAGTGAGTGGTTGAATTGGTGAAAATTAGCTGTGTATTTGATGTGACTTCATTGTAAATATTTATTGAATGAGTGGATGGATGGATGGATGGATGGATGGATGGATAGATGGATGCATGAATGGGTGGATGGATGGATGAATCTGTCTTCCTGAAGGACACTCACTCGGTATCCCTCACACATCCCTCCACATATGACCTCTTGCTTGGATGCCCCAGGGAGGAAGCTATGGATGGGGTAGGATGAGTGACGCCAAGTTCTGGCATCTGACATGCAGTTACACTTCTTCAGTTTAAGAAAGAAGGTTCGAAGATTTCATTCAGGACCATGGAGAGCGGCACCAGCAGCCCTGAACCCCTGCCCTCGGATCCCCTTGAGGCATTTCCCCAGAAGAGCCTGGAGCCAGCTGACATTGCAGTGCTTGTCCTGTACTTCCTCTTTGTCCTGGCTGTTGGACTATGGGTAAGCCAGGCTGGTGAGGGGTGGGAAGACAAGGAAAGGTCAGGCCAGAGGCCCTGAGCCAACCCCATTATTTTGGAGTTAAGATTCTAACTGAGAGAGAGGAGAAGAAATTAGCTCAAGGTCCTGGAGTATTCAGAATGGTACCGTTTAAAAAAACGCATTGAGTGTTGACTCTGTGGCAGGCACCGTGCCAAGCACTTATACTTACATTATCTTGTGTAATTTGCACACGCCTCTGAAAATACTACTATACCCATTTTACAAATAAGGAAACTGAGGTATAAATAATTTAAATTCCTTATCCTGTTAGTAAGTTAGGAGAGATGGGGTTAGAGTCTACATCTTCCTTACTTTGAAGTCCATGCTCTTTTTTTTTTTTAATTTAAATGAAGTTTATTTTTAAAAGTAATACAGTCACATGATTCAAAAATAAAAACCTCTTAAAATGACATTCAGTGAAAAGTTTTCACCCTCCTTTTCTGAGTAGTTCCTCCCTCATTAACATATACTCACTGCCCCTTAAGTTTCCTATCTAATCTTTCAAGTTGCTGTTGTCAATTTGATCCCATATAGATAGATCTTAAAAGAGCACAATGCTCAAGGCAGACGTTCTTTACTGGTTAAGCTAAACTGTTGTACCTAATGTATTACATTAGGTAGTGTAACACTGAAACGCTCTGTAATTTATTTAGTCAGTCTTCTGATGAAGTTCATTCGGGTTGTTTCTCATCTTTTACTACTACAAATTATGCTGCAATAAATACACTTTGTTCACCCTTCCCTCTACAAGAGACCACTGTTATTAGCTTTTTAATACTTTAGTGTATTCTTCAAGAATTTCCTTATGTAAATCCCAGCAAATATGAATACGTGTATTTCCATCTTTCTTAAACAGAAGGTAGCTAATTATACGTGCTGTTTTGGACCTCTGGTGGCACAGTGGTTGAAGCACTCAGCTGCTAACTGAAAGGTCGGCGGTTTGAATCTACCAGCCGTTCTTTGGGAGAAAGATGTGGCAATCTGCTTCCGTAAAGACTCACAACCTTGGAAACCCTATGAGGCAGTTCTATTCTGTCCTATAGGGTTGCTATGAGTCAGAATCGACTTGACAGCAGTGGGTTTATTTCACTTTCTATCCATATCAGTATCTAGAAGCTTCCTCATCTTTTTAAAAGCTGCACAGTGTTCCATGAGGTACTGTAGCACTGAAATGTGCTGTAATTTATTTAATCAGTCTCCTGATGAGGGTCATTTGGATTATTTCCCATCTTTAACTGTTACAAGTTATGCTGCAATAAATAAACTTCGTTCACTCATTATTTTGGATGTGTGTAGCTATAATGTAGGATAAATTTCCTGAGGTGGAATTGTCAGGTTAAAAAAGATATGCCTTTGTAATATGATACTTTGTGTCAAACTGTCCACCTTAGGTGTGGTACCAATCTGCACACGCATCCATAATGTAACGTGTGAGAAACTCTGTTTTACTACATTTTCACCAACAGTATGTTGTCAAGCTTTTACATTTTTGTCAGACTGACTCATTTCTGTGTACTGTGGTTTTATATCTTTTGCCCACTTTTTTAAAATTTATTTTTTATTCTGGTAAATATATAGGTAACAAAACATTTACCATTTCAACAATCTTCACATTACAGTTCAGTGACATGTTTCTTGCATATATATACATACACACACACATAATTTATTTTTGTTGTTGTTGAGAATATGTATAGCAGAACATACACCAATGCTACCATTTTGACAAGTACATTTCAGTGACATTGATTACATTCTACAAGCTGTGCAACCATTCTTACCCTCCTTTTCCGAGTTGTTTCTCCCCCGTTAACACACACTCACTGCCCCTAAGGTTCCTGGCTAATCTTTCAAGTTGCTGTTGTTGATTCGATCCCATATAGGAGCCCTGGTGGCACATGATTAAGAGCTTGGCTGCTAACCAAAAGCTGGGCTAGCCAGCCGCTCCTTAGAAATCCTATGAGGCAGTTCTACTCTGTCCTATAGGGTCACTATGAGTTGGAATTGACTCGATGACACAGTTGTTTTTTTAGATACAGCTTTAAAAAGCACAATGCTCAAAACAGACACTCTTTACTAGTTAAGCTAAACTATTGTTTGGTTTTAAGAAGACTTCAAGGGCTTGCTCTTTTCTTAACAGTTCTTAGGAGGTCTTTATATATTAAGGAGATTAGTACCTTTGGAATAAAGATGGTGCTGCTCTCTGGTTTTCAGGTCACCTGTACAAGGACTTGAAAACTACAGTCCACTGAGGTGTGGCCACTTTGAACTGACTCTTCTGTGGATCATTTCTCTACTCTAACCCTTTAGCTTCCCTCCTCCATGTCAAGAATGGAAAAAAATGTGCTGGGCATCCCAAAGACCATGGATCTGACCTTTCTGTGCTTCCCCTACCTTAGCAAGAGATACTGAGATGGATGAGATCATTAAGAATAAGGGCTTTAGAGTTACAAAGACTTGAGATCAGCATTAGGGTTAGAGTTAGAGTGAAGGTTAGGGTTCCTGGGGAATCTTTATTTTTACAAGAGAACCAGGTGACTCTGATGTATCACTAGTTTGGGAACTTCTGAATTTAGATAACCCTCTTCATATCCCCTTGAGCACAAGGAGTTCTTGATTCTTAGACAATACTTCCTGCATCAAGGTTCGGCAGGAACGAGCCACAATGTCTGTTTTGTATAGCAAGATCATTTATAGGGGCTGGAAGAGGTACCATTTTGTGCCGTCTCCCACCCAGAGTAAGAATGCCCTCACGAATATTGCACACAAAGGCTCAGAGAAGTTAAACAACTAATCCAAGTTTACTCAAGCTACTTAGTGGCCAAAATGTCTCTACTTGAACAGCTTAAATGACAGAAGTTAGTTTTATAGGTCAGCTAAGAGCATAGGCTCCAAAATCAGGCTGACCTGGTTTTGGATTCCCAGCCCTGCTACTATCTAGAAATACGGCATTAGATATGACTGCTTCTGAGCCCCAGTTTTTCTGTCTATCACATGACCTAGCAATACCTACCTCATATGGGTTGGTAAGGATTAAAATGAGATAATGTTTATAAAATGTTTACATAGTATCTGGCACATAGTAAACACCCAATAAATGGTATCCATCATAAGCTTTCTTAGACAAGCCATGGGTCTAAAACTCAAAGGCCTCATAAGGTAAGGGGTTAAGCAGGTTATCATAAACATGTGAAGCAAGGAGTGGTGGGGCTGGGTTGATCTGAAGAGTTTATGCCTCCTCTAAAGGCATTCAAATTCAAATTTTCTTTAAAACCATGTGTCAAACAAAACACATTTGAGGAAAAATCTGGCTCTTTGAATTCCCAGTTTGCAATCCCTGGCCCAGGCCATTTTGGAATGGCTCTGATTGCTAACATTTTCCCTCTTCTCTGTTTCAGTCCACAGTGAAGACCAAAAGAGACACCGTGAAAGGCTACTTCTTGGCTGGAGGGAACATGGTGTGGTGGCCAGTAAGTGACCTTTGGTTCAATTCAAGTTACTTCTCAAAGAATCTTCAAGTACTACCTTCTGCCCAGCCTTTGCTCTCTCAGAACTCTTTTGTTCCATGTTGCATGGAAGTCACAGTCTAAACTACAGAAAGCTTAACTCCAACTCAAACTGGTTTAAACAAAAAGGGAATTTATCAGTTCAGCTTACCTAAGTGAAAAATCTATGGTTGGGCTGGTTTCAGGTATGACTGAACGCAGAGCCTCAAGTAATGCCAGTAGATTTCTATCTCTCTGTCTCTATCTGTCTGTCTGTCTATCTTTCTTTCTATCTGTCTATCTATCTATCTATCATCTACCCACTTACCTACCTATCCATCCATCCATCCACCTACCCACCCATCCATCGATCATTATCTATCAGCTTCTCCCTGGATGAGTATTATCCCTTGACAGGCTCACCTTTCATGGCTTCAAGTTGGTGGACACTGCTCCAGACATTTCATCCCTCAAGTTTTAGCTCAGCATGTGAAAAGCACCTCCTTCCAAGGCAGTATTCCTGGCAAATATCTCATCTCTGGGTCCCATGCCCAACTGTGAGCCAAACACTGTGACCAGGGTAGTTTGATGTGCTGATTGACTCAAGCCTGGGTCACATACTCTATGCCTAAGCTGAGAGAGTGGAACCTCCACTGAAGCATATAGGATGAGAAACGAGAGCACTGAACCCTGAAGGAAAATTGAAGGTCATTTCCGCGAGAAGGTGGAATAGATGCTGAGAACACAAATAAATTGCACAACCCCATTACTATTTTTTTCAAGTGGATCCAAGGGCATCCCCAAATACACACGTACCTCTACTTCCTGAGTTATGGGTAAAGTATCATGGATAATAGTTATACTTATGATCTTCTAAAATAAGGGGAAATAGTTGAACTAATAAAAGCGAGGACAGCTCCCACTTGCAGTAAGTCCAAGAGATACAGTGTTTCCCAAAGTACGAGTAATAAGTCCCAAAGATTTTTCAGTTGTACACAAACGTAGCATTCAGTAGCATCAAGTTAAATAATGGGAACATCATTCTCTGTCCTGTTCTCTATCAATCCTAATTACATAAGAGAAAAAAAAAAATCTCAGTTTGGTGCTAACATGTCTTTTCCAACTTTCTATCACTGGCTAAGTTAACCAATAGAATGCAGGCCTAGGGCTCAGTAATTTTGGTAGTCCAGAGAACCTAGCTAGAATTTAATAACATTTTTTATTTTTAATTTTATTTTTATGATTCTCTTCTACGTATTGAAGAGCCCTGGTGGCAAGTGGTTAAGAGCTCAGCTGCTAACCAAAAGGTCAGCAGTTCAAATCCACCAGCCACTCCTTGGAAACCCTGTGGGGCTGTTCTACTCTGTCCTATAGGGTCACTATGAGTCAGAATTGACTCCCCAGCAACAGGATTTTTGTTTTTTTCACTTAAGATTGTGTTAGCAGCATATATATAACACATATTTGAATTAAAAACAGGTCAATTTAAGGTAAAATATTGAGCAAATAGCAGTGTAGGTGGTATATCTGTTTAAAAAAGTCCACGAAGGAAATACTCAATGGCTGAGTTTTAAGAAATGCTGACCTAGTGGCCTCTATGATGAGGTGATGCTGCTTTCCTAACATTCAGCAGGAATACAGCAGCCCACCCAGTAGTACCTGTTTCCTTGTGTCTCTTTTGGGACCATTTCTCTGCTCATATCCCTTGGATTGTCTTCCCCCAGGCCAGAAAGGAATGGGAAGTTTTAGAACATTCTTTGCTTTCCTTGCCCAAGCAGTGGATACCAAGACGAAGGAGACACACAACCTGAAGACGGTGGGCATAGAATAGCTACAATGTATTATTGTTAACGGTTTCATGGGTTGGCGAGGTAGTTCTTCTGATGGTGTCCTCTGGACTCTGTCATGCAGCAGCATTTCACTGGAGGCTGGGCTGGGCTGGAAGGTCCAAGATGGCCTCACCCACATGTGTGGGGCTTTAGCAGGGCTAGCTGGAAGGCTGCGACTTCTGTCTCCCCATGTGCTCTCTCATCATTCAGTGGCCCAGCCCAAGCTTCTTTATAAGGCAGCTGGCTTCCAAGAAGGCAAAAATGGAAGCCACCAGGCTCTTAAGGCCTTGACCTGGAAGTCTCAGAGTTTCACTTCCACTACTTTGGAAAACCATTTGGCAGTTCCTAAAAAGTTAAACATAGAGTTACTAATAACCTGGTGATTCCACTTTTAGGTATATTCCTAAGAGAATTAATGAATGGATAAACAAAATGTGATATATCCATGCAGTGTAATATTATTCAGCCATGAAAAAGAATGAAGTACTGATACATGCCACAACATGGATAAGTTTTGAAAATATACTAAGTGAAAGAAGTCAGATACAAAGGGCCACATATTATATAATTCCATTTATATAACATGTCTAGAACAGGCAAATCCACAGAATCAGAAAGTAGATTAGTGTTTGCCAGGGACTAGAGGGAAGGGGGAAACCCTGGTGGTGTAGTGATTAAGAGCTACGGCTACTAACCAAAAGGTTGGCGGTTCAAATCTGCCAGGAGCTCCTTGGAAACCCTATGGGGCAGTTCTACTCTGTCCTTTAGGGTCACTATGAGTTGGAATCGACTCGACAACAACGGAGGAGGGAAGGGGAGCCGAGAGTGTTGCTTATAGGTATGGGACTTCTTTTTAGGTTGATGACAGTGTTCTAGAATTAGATAGTGGTGATGGTTGTACAACTTTTTGAATATACCATATACTTCTAAAGGGTGAGTTTAATGGCATGTGAATTATATCCCAGTTTTAATAAATGAAAAAAGAGCATGCAGAATGGGAGGGATTGTTGTGTCCATCTTAGGAAACAGCCTACCACAGACAAACTTGGGGTTGAGTTTGGGCTGTTTCATGTACTCAGGATAGTAACCTAACCTCTCTGAGCTTTGGTTTCATCATTCCTAAAATAGGAGGTTGTGATGACAGACTGAGATAACGTTTGGAATGAGCTTAGCGTATAGTAAGTGCTCAAGACCTGGTAGGTATTTTATCATCAAAAAAGTTATAATCTAGTGTGGTAAATTTATATAGCCCCAGAAGATCTAAGGGTGATAGTGAAGAAAACAAGGTCCTGTGGGAACGGAGAGGAAGAATTGATGAATTTTTAATAGTGGCTTACATAGCTGGAGACACCCAGAGCCAGAGAGAAGTGACTGGGAGTGCTAGTTTGGAAAGAGAAAATAATCCTTGACGTTGGTATAGAATTTTACTAATTAGAAAGGGTTTCCTCATCCATATTGGAGCCCTGGTGGAGCAGTGGTTAAGAACTCCACTGCTAACCAAAAGGTCATCAGTTCAATTCCACCAGCCACTCCTTGGAAACACTATGGGGCAGTTCTACTCTGTCCTATAGGGTTACTCTGAGTCAGCACTGACTCAATGGCAACGGGTTCACGTCATCCATATCATCCTCATACATGTCTCCCACAGCCCTGTGAGGTGGGTGCCATTATCATTCCTACTTTAAGACCTGGACACTGAGACTCAGAACAGTTAACTGGCTTGTACAAGGACGCCCAGCTAATAAGTTAAGCTTTGGGATCAGGTTTCATACTGCTCCAAGGGGATAAAGCAGAGGTTTTGGATGGGGTGGTGGGGTACCACCCCCAACAATGCCTTTCTCTCCATTACCAGTCCCCTAAACCCAGAATGAATGAGGAATTGGAGTTTGGTGAGAAGCCCTGGTGGGACAGTAACAACGGGGACCCTGGTCCTGTGGGGCCTTGAGGGTGCGGTCAGGAATCTCCTTTTCTTCTAACTTGTTTGCTGGGACACTCTTCACCTTGGTTGACTCTGAGCTGTGACTCAATAAGAGGACGAAGCACATTATGCATCCAGTCAGTGGAGGATGGGGAACTGCTTAGAATCACAATCACAACACGTCAGCACTGGGAAGACTCTCAGAGACCATGTCATTCCATTCACCACCCATTTTGCCTCTTGGGAAACTGAGCCTCAGAAAGCCCAAGCAACTCATCTAAGTTGAGTGTCTTAATCGAAATTATTTTGGCTGCAAGTAACAGAAATCTACTCAAGCTGGCTCAGATGATGAAGGGGAATCTATTATAAGCAACATCATGATAAACGAAGAAAACATTGAAGTTGTCAAGGATTTCATTTTACTTCAATCTGTAATCAACATCCATGGAAGCAGTAGTCAAGAAATCAAATAACACATTGCATTAGGCAAATCTGCTGCAAAAGATCTCTTTAAAGTGTTAAAAGCGAACATGTCACTTTGAGGACTCAGTTGCACCTGACCCAAGCCATGGTATTTTCAATCTCCTTATATGCATGCAAAAGCTAGATAATGAATAAAGAAGACGGAAGAAGAATTGATGCCTTTGAATTATGGTGTTGGCAAAGAATATTAAATGTACCTTGGATTGCCAGAAGAATGAACAAATCTGTCTTGGAAGAAGTATAGCTAGAATTCCTCCTTAGAAGCAAGGATGGCAAGATTTCATCTCACATACTTTGGACATGTTATCAGGGGGGACCAGTCCCTGAAAAGGACGTCATGCTTGGTAAAGCAGAGGGTCAGCAAAAAGAGGAAGACCTTCAACAAGATAGATGACATAGTGACTGCAACAATGGGCTCCAACATAGCAACGATTATGAGGATGGCACAGGACTGGACAGTGTTTTGTTCTATTATACATAGGGTTGCTGTGAGTTGAAACTGACTCGACAGCACCTAACAACAACAACAACATAATAACGGAGTCCTGGGTGGTACAAATGGTTAATGAGATTGGCTTATAACTGAAATGTTGGAGGTTTGAGTCCTCCCAGGGGTGCCTCAGAAGAAAGTCCTGGTGATCTACTTCTGAAAAATCAACCACTGAAAACTCTATGGAGCACAATTCTACTCTGACACACATGGTGTCACCAGGAGTCAAGAGCTGACTAAACAGCAACTGGTAACCGGTGGTTATGATGATGCAGGACCTGGCTTGGGCTTCTCGGTGGAGGAGAACCAGAGACTATAAAGCCAGTAGGAGGCTCAACAGCCCTGTCTTTAGTTCTTACTCTCTCACTCTCTGGCTCTGCACTCGATTGATTTGCCTCTCTGTATATCTCCTTCATATTCTCAACAGATTGGCGGTGACGAGCACATGGCCCAACATGCCCCTCCCCAACCTCACCATACACACACCCCTCCCTGGTTGACACATCCCCAGTTCAAGGCACCAGCAGAGGCTCTGTCCTAGTTCCAAATTCTCGGGAGAGAGAATGTAATTGGCCCAGCTTTGGTCAGGTGCCCAGACCTGGGATTAGGGTCATCGTGTGCAGTCTTGGTTACTTAGAGTTCTACCAAGAGAGCAGTCTACTTTGCTAAGTTAGAAGCAGAGCAGTGGAGTAACACAGACATCCTGATTCTCATAATGAAGCGCTTTCTATAATACCTGTTGTTCTGCACTGCACAACCCCAGGGGATGCAATTCACATTGTAGTCATCATTGATATACATATCTATTGTGCCAATTTATGATGGTGGAAGTGAAAGAGTCTTGGAGAAGGAGAGTCTTTTTCTAATTTGTGCAAAGGTGCCCAATAGGCTAAGGATGGCCCTGCTTCCTCCACTTGTTCTTCTGTCTTGGTCCCCTTGGGGCAGGGGAAGAAGCTGGAGGTGGGGATCAGGGACTCCAGGCCCTGGCTTCAAGATCTGACCCATTCATTTCCCCACAGGTGGGTGCATCTCTGTTTGCCAGCAATGTTGGAAGTGGACATTTCATTGGCCTGGCAGGGTCAGGTGCTGCTATGGGCATTTCTGCATCAGCTTATGAACTTAACGTAAGTATTTCACCCAGGGCATAGACACCTCACCCTCTACTTAATAGGTACATCCTGGGAGAAAGTGGTGTGACTACCTCACACTTTTAACAAGAGAATTGTGCTTTATAAGAACAAAACAAACAGGGAGACTTTGGTAAGCAAAAAACAGTCTGTCTGCAAGTCCTAGGTCTCCCTGTGTTTGCTTGCTGGGGGCCCCTAAGCCACAATCCCAAAAATCAGGTGTGGATAGGAGGGCTCAGAATCCTTCCCTTGTAGATTCAAAAGAAAGAAGATATCTTGGGACCAGATGTCATTGCTGTGTATTTTAGACATCAGTTGATCATCACAAAAGCTCAGTGGCTCTTGACCTTTTTGTTGCCCCACAGGTACCCAAGCAATAGGACAATTTCCCTATGTACAGGGCTCATTCAGGATATGATTTTCACCGGGGAGTGGGGTGTACATATTAATAATGCTCTTCATCTTCATAATGACTAACATTTTTAAGTGCTTATTCTGTGCTAGGCACAGACCTAAGTACATTACATACCTTGTCATATTATGGGATTCAATTACAGACTAGAACCAGACTGCCTGGGTTCACATCCTGGCTCCCAACACTTACAAGCTGCATGACCTTGGGCAACTTACTTAACATCTCTGAACCCCTAGTTCCTTATGTATAAAATGGGATGATAATGAATTAATGCTTGTAAAGGATGCAGAGAAGTGCCTGGCTTATCGTAAGTGCTTAGTAGATGTCGTCTCACTGATTACTCACAACAACCCGGTGAGGCCCTCTTACCCCCATTTCACAGATGGGGGGAATGAGTCTCCGAGATTTGTGCAAACTTTCCCTGCATCCAATCTTTGAGCCCACGCCTGCCTGACCTCACAGCCTGTGTTTGAACCACTGCCAAGGAGAGAAAGGAGAGCAACTGAATGAAGGGGCTTGACATGGAAAGTTTAATAAGGCACAGAGCTAGAAGGAGTCACAAAAAGGCTCCTATTTCCACCCCTCTCTACCTAATCCCTTTCTCTCCATTTTACACATGGAAATACGAAGCCCAGGGAATGTGAGCCACTCAGCAAGTAAGAGACTGAGCCAGGGGCAGAGGCCAGGCCAGGTGACCCCAGGGCCCAGAAGCAAATCCGCATTGCCACTGGGGTGTGGGCTGGGAGCCGAGTGCTGACTGTATTTTCTCGGACAGGGCATATTCTCCGTGCTGATGTTGGCCTGGATCTTCCTCCCTATCTACATTGCTGGCCAGGTGAGTCTGAGGGGTGTCGGGGAGCTGGAATGAGGAAACCCTTTAGGAAGGTAAACTCTAAATTTGCTCCCTCCCACCATCATCCCTCCCATTCTCCTGTTAGACACCAAGAAGTGCCAGCACTGATGCGGGATGGTGCATGGTGGGACAGTCAGGAGCCCTGTTCTTAGCAGGGCTCACCTAGCTCACCTAGTAACCAGCATTGAGGATGTGCAGGAGGCTTTTCGGAGGCTGGAGGATGTGTGGGCTCAAAAAAATGTTTGATGCCAACACATAAATATAAAACCCACAGTCTCTTTTAAACATTTAAACCATAGCATGTTAAAGCTTTTAACTTAAAAAAAAAAAATCAGGGATGTTTTTCTTTCTTTGCACACAAAACTATAATAATCAAGGCATTTTTGACTGACGTGAAATGCTAAAATTTTTTGTGGCAAAATAAGGTTGCTCTACACTGTTTGAAAAAACAGCTTTAAAAATCATGTGTGATCTTGTTGACAACCTTCTGTCATTCATACTCCCTAGACTTAATTCTATTTCAGATGTTCTACCACACCATGGAGCCCTGGTGGTGCAGCAGTTAAGAGCTATTGCTGCTAACCAATAGGTTGGCAGTTCGAATCCACCAGCTACTCCCTGGAAACCCTATGGGGCAGCCCTACTCTGTCCTATAGAGTCGCTATGAGTTGGAATCGATTCAATGGCACTGGGGATTTTTTGAGTGGGTGCATCCATAGTATGGAATATCATGTAGGTGTGAAAAGGTATAAAGTTGATAGAGGTGTTTTGCTATGTAAGAATCTCCATAAAAACCATTATATTGGTGGTCAGAAAAACAGGATATTGTATGACATGATCATACAAATCACCGTGTCATTTGTAATAAAGCAATCGCCTATTTTATTTTTTTATTATAGAAAATGTTTGAAATGCACAGAATAGAAAGAACTGTATAATGATCAGAAAAATCATTTTTAAAATCAGTTTATAGGGTACTACAATAGGACAATCCTGGGTAAAGGACAGTGATGTATGGACAAATAACCTCATTGGGAGATAATTCTAAGAGTCTAAACATGACGTCTTTTGTGAGTGAGGGGCCTAGGTCTTCCCGCTCCCACCTGTGACTAGCTCCCACATAGACAAAATATCTGGGATATGACAGCATTGGACTGGGAGTGAAGATCCCTGGGTCCACGCATCAATATATGTGTACTTAAGAAAGAGTAAGGACAGTGGAGATGAAAAGTAGTTTGTGGGTAGGTTGCCAAAAGTTCTCAGCTGATGGTTTCCATTTTTCCTGGCAAGCAGAAGATAATCCCACCTGCTGAGCATGACAAAGGAACTCACGAGGCTGGAAGCTGAGAAGAGGGACAAAGATTTGAAATGGCTGCTGTAGTTGTTTGTAACAGAGAAACTCAGGGTCAACCAAAATGTGCATCAGTAGGGGCCGGTGGATCCATAGTATGGAATACCATACAGTCAGGAAAAGGGATAAAGTCGACAGAGGTGTGTTGCTGTATAAGGATCTCCAAGCTATATTGTTAAGTAAAAAATTCCTAGGGTCTAGGCCTTGGTGCCTCAGCAGTTAAGCGTTTGGCTGTTAACCAAAACGTCGGCAGTTTGAATCCACCAGCTGCTCCTTGGAAACCCTATTGGGCAGTTCTATTCTGTCCTATAGGGTCGCTATGAGTTGGACTCAACTTGACGGCAATGGGTTTTTTTAGACATTCTTTAAGGAGCCTAGGTGGTGCAACAGTTAGTTAAGCACTCGGCTGCTAACTGAAAGGCCGGTGGTTGGAACCCACCCGCAACTCCACAGAAGAAAAGAGCTGGCGATCTGCTCCTGTAAAGCCGAGGAAACCCTATGGGGCAGTTCTACTCTGTCCTATAGGGTCACTATGAGTCAGAATGAACTCAACAGCAATAGTGTTTTTTTTTTTTTTTTTTCGGTTTGGCTTAACAGTATTCACTTCCTTGGTTTTTTTTTTTTTTAAACACTTATATAGTTTTAATTATGCATTCCTAAACAATCCAGTTTAATTTTACTGTTTTTGACCTGTATAGAGATGGAATCAGGGGCAGCATATTCTGTTGTGTGTAGCTGGTGTGAGCATTTTCATTGCTTGGCAGTGTTCTATAGTATGAACACATCCCAACATGCTTATTCACTCTTCTGTTGATGGACATTTAGGTTGTTCCCAGTGTCGAGCTATGATGAACAATGCTGCTTTGAACATTTTTATAATTGTGCCCCAATGCACATAAACATGCATTTATGCAGGGAATCCATCTCCTCTCTCTTTCTCTCTACCTTGCTTGTGCCAAATCGCCTTTTTAACTGCTTTACAACAAACATTGAAAGCCGCTGCCTCCCGTCTGTCAGCTAGCTGCACATTTCTCCCCAGGGTCTGACTTCTAGATTCCAATGCTGCTTGCTTTCTGATGACTTTCATCCCTCCTTCCTCTCTTAGCTCATTAGAAACTTCTTGCTTGTCAAGGCTGAAGGTGTCCAAGTGCCACTCTTTCTAGACTGAAAAGAAGGGCAATTGATAATAAAGGCTGTCAACCAATCACAGGAGTCTCACTCCCAAACCAAGACCAGCTGGTAGTGCTCATTCACAGATAAGATAGTGAAGCCACTCTGAGAAGTGTCTTCCTTGGGACATTTATCTCAATGAACTAAAGTTCTCACTCTGTTGTTAGGTTGTTATGTGCCGTCGAGTCCTCACAGCGACCCTATGTAGAAGAGAACAAAACACTGCCGGGTCCTGCGCCATCCTCACTATTGTTGCTTGAGACCATTGTTGCAGCCACTGTCAATCCATCTCGTTAAGGGTCTTCCTCTTTTTCACTAACGCTCTACTTTACCAAGCATGATGTCCTTCTCCAGGGACTGGTCCCTCCTGATATCACGTCCAAAGCATGTGAGACATAGTCTCGCCATCCTTGCTTCTAAGGAGCATTCTGGCTGTACTTTTTCCAAGACAGATTTGTTCGTTCTTTTGGCCGGTCCATGGTATATTCAATATTTAAAAGCTCTCACATACTCCTTCTAATTAGGAGTTTGTCCCATGTTCAGGACAGTTCGATTGAATCTCTTTGTTTGTTATTCCTTGAGAGAGTATCAGAGTTCACTACAATGTACTTCTAGAAAATTCCTGCTGTATTTGCCTTGCAGCAAATCAAAAGACATTCATGAGGTTCATGATCTAAAATTGTCCTTTTTGGGGGGAGGGGGTCTTTCTTCTATTTAAAAATGTCCATTTATTCCTGAGTTTATTTTCCCCAATATTTTATTATTAAAAATTTTCAAACTTACATAAAATTTGAAATAATTTTTCGCAGAACACATCCATATCCACCACCTACATTCTACTATTACCATTTTGCTGTTCTTTAAGCCAGTCTGGCCATCTAATCTCTCCCAGTCTCCCCTTCCAATTTCTTTATGAATCACCAGATTCTTCTGCTTCTGCAGTCTGACTTTGGAATGGACAGTTTATCATTCATTAGCTCCTGACTGGGTACCCATTAGATTCCTTCCTGGGTGTTGGAGACACCCCAGCAGGAACAGCCTGGAGGAAGGGCTGCAAACAGTCCTGCAAATATCATCATTACTCAGTCCTTCCCATCCAAGTGCTAGTACCTCATGGAAGAACAGCTGTTGGCTTGAGGTTCTAGAGTCAAGATATAGCATTGTCTCATCCTTAAATCTGGGAAAGGTGGGGGTGAAGAGATTGGGAAAGAATACCCCAAACCCCAAGAAAAATGCAGCCCAAATAATAGTTCTCAGCAGCTTTGCGAAGAATGGGAATTCCAGAACACTTAATCGTGCTCATGAGGAATCTGTACATAGATCAAGAGGCAGTTGTTCGGACAGAACAAGGGGATACTTTGTGGTTTAGAGTCGGAAAAGGTGTGTATCAGGATTGTATCCTTTCACCATACTTATTCAATCTGTACGCTGAGCAAATAATCCAAGAAGCTGGACTCTATGAAGAAGAACGGGCCATCAGGATTGGAGGAAGACTCATTAACAACCTGTTTTATGCAGATGACACAACCTTGCTTGCTGAAAGTGAAGAGAACCTGAAGCACTTAGTGATGAAGATCAAAGACCATGGTCTTCAGTATGGATTACACCTCAACATAAAGAAAACAAAAATTCTTTCAGCTGGACCAATAAGCAACATCATAATAAATGGAGAAAAGACTGAAATTGTCAAGGATTTCATTTTACTTGGATCCACAATCAACACCCATGGAAACAGCAGTCAAGAAATCAAAAGACAGGACTTCCGGGCAACATGGGGCTATAATCAGAAGCACCACGCCGTCTCTCCGCAGCAAAGATCAGAAAAACTAAGTCAAACAGAGTCTCGTGTCAGTCCTGAAACCCTAACCATCAAAGGAAGAGATAAAGAACTCAGCGAAGCACCGAATGGAATAAGAAACTGACCAAGAACAGAGAGCAAGGAGAGATACACGCAGAGGTCCCGTATCAGCTACCGCAGCACGGATCCGCCATCTTGGGCTCGTATCGGAGATCAGTGAACAGGAGGTACGAGAAAGCAGCTTCACGGAGCTTTCAGCAGGAAACAGAACAACTGGTAACCCACGATATAGGCTTTCCCACTCCCCACCCTTCTTCACCCCCATTTAGCCTCCTCTGCTTCCTGCAGCCACAGTCTATTGGCCGGGAAGCACAGCTTCCACCCAGTGCCACTTGGATTCCACCCGCCCACACTGGCCAGCTCCCTAAGTGCCATTTGTTGGCTGCTGGTGTTGCTTTTTTCCGCTTCTTTAGATTTCTTCCTTAACTATCACCACTTCCCCCTCCTTTCTCTCAAATACCTGGCTCCATGCGCCATCTTTGCTTCTTCCTGAAAGGCTGTGAAACACCACTCGACTGTGAAACTGCTTCCCGGCCCATGACGCCACGCTGGTGGGACCCCCAGGGCTTTTTTGTTTGTTTGTTTGCTCT